ATTTAGATAAGGAATAGATTCACCCTTAACTATATAACCTTATATGATGGAAGAATAATAAATTTAAAATATGGTCATTTAGGAATAATATAAGGAAATTTGACATATCAAAAAATAAAGTTTACATGTTACCCAAAATATTGTGTTTCATTAAAAGATTGAAATTTTAATTAAGTATTAGGACTACATTTTAAGCTGCATAGAGATGATATCATGCAATCAGGTGATCAAATTATGACTATAAAGTGTAAAGCTTATATACATTTACCAATTCTAATTATGGAAACATTTATTCCAATAAACCTTATAGTGAAGTATATAAAGAATGTAAGGATATTAGCAAAAATAATATAACCAAAATAAATAAATAAGTTTAGCTCCAGAAAAATATGAATTTAGCATAACAAAAAATAAACTTGAAATAACAGAATTAAATGAAAGAGAATGTTATAATAATATAACATTTAAGGATGAAAAATTAATTAAAAGATCAAAAAGTCTTAAAATACTTAATAAAAATCAGTTAGAAGAATTTGATAATATAAAAGAAGTAAAATTATATAGGAATGTTGAAAATATGAAAATAGAAAAAGAATATTATAATGGAAGAGAAAATATAAATGGACCAAATATATTAATAGATACAGGAGTTAGTGAATGTCATATAACTTCAATCAGAAATAAATGATTAATAACTCATAAAACTGATCTATATAGATATGTAAATTTTGATGGACAAGTACATATTACAGATTTGGAAGTTGAGGTACCAATAAAAATAGGAGGAATAGATATTTTAGTACCATGTTATATAGATAAAAGTATGGATATAAACTCTCGTATACTTTTAGGAATGAGCTTTCTAAATGGATTAGAAGATTATAGTATAAAAAGAGAAGGAATAAATATTACTCATAATGGACAAACTATATTATGTAAAAAGAACCAAATGAATAATCAGATACGTTTTTCATTAACTGTATATTTACAAGTTATTATTGTAGAAACAAATATAACAACTTGTACTTTAATAGATACATGAAGTGATATAACAATATTTAAAAGTTTTCTGATAAAATCATGGAATGATAATAATAATATAAAAATAACTAGAGTCACAGGAAAAAGTACCCAGATAATAAATAGTGCTGATAAAGTTAGTATAATTCTTTGAAGTAAACAAGTTACAATAAATAAAATTTATAAATATAATAAATTAAAGTGTGATATATTATTAGGAAAGGACTTTATACAATAATTTCAATATTATAAACAAAATAATTATATGATAATGTTACAAATTTCTTGTGGACACTTATTAAAAATTTCAAAAGAATTTAAATCTTATAAAGTTCAGCCAGCCCAACGTGGTGATAAATGAGAGAAAAAAATCAATCATATTTAATGAAATAAAAAATAAAAGAATATTGTATAAAAAAAAGTTTTAAAAACATGAATATAAATAAGTATAGAAAAAATTATTGAACAATTAGAAAAAGTTTATGGAGAAAATTCATTATTATTTTGGAAACCACATCACCCTAAAGCTAAGAATTGACAGAAAATGTTATAATAAGAGTCAGACCAATGATGTATACTATAGAAGATACACAAGAATTCAAAAATCTGATAAAAGAATTATTAGAACAGAAACTTATTAGACCAAGTAATGGACCTTATAGTAGTCCAGCTTTTATGATTATGAAACATTCTGAACATGCTACAGGAAAAGCTAGAATGGTTATAAATTATAAAGAATTAAATAAATATAATAAATTTGATGGATATTTTTTACCAAATAAATAAGTTTTAATAAACCTTGCAAAAGAAAAACAATATTATTCTAAATTTTACTGTAAATCAGGATTTTGGCAAATAAAAATGAAAGAAGATAATATACAATATACTGCATTTAGTACACCTCAAGGAAAATATGAATGGATAGTAATGTCATTTGAATTAAAAAATGCACCACAAATATATCAAAGAAAAATGGATAAAATATTTAAAAAGTTCAATGAATTTCTAATTGTTTATATAGATGATATATTGATATGTTCTAACAGTAAAGAAAAACATATGAATCATTTAATCCAATTCATAAACGAATGTAAAAAAGAATGAATTGTACTTTCTAAAAAGAAATCTATTATAGAAAAATAAGAGCTAGATTTTCTTGGATTATCAATAGATAAAATTGCAAACTTATATATATAAAAAGATAGAAAGTTTTTCAAATAAATTAGAACCTAAAAAAATAAATACAAAATTCTTTAGGATGTTTAAATTATACAGAAAGATTTATTGAAAATCTTTCTAAAAAAATGCACAAAATACAAATTTTACTTAAAAAAATAAACACTAAAAGATAGAATGAAGAACATGCAGAAATAGTTAAATCATTAAAAGAATAATGTAAAAATTTACCAAAATTAAGATTATCAAGTGAAAAAGATAATTTAATTGTTAATACTGATGCCTCAAATAAATATTGGACAGCAATATTAAAAACAAATTTAAATGAGATTTGTAGATATTCAAGTGAAACTTTTAATCAAGCAGAAATAAATTATACCACTTATGAGAAAGAATTACTAGCAATTATTATAGGGATAAAAAAGTTTTCATTATTCTTACTATCCAAGAAATTTACTGTTGATACTGATATTTCTTAAGTTGTAGGATTAGTCATGAATAAACTACCATCAGAATCTCAATACAGAAAGCTCTATAATTCATATTAAAGAAGTTAATAATTTTCTTATAAATTTTCTCAGCATAAACATATAATTTGCTGATGGATAAAGCTAAGATCATGGAGTTATACTAATATATCCTACATATACAAAAAATGATAGATTTTCTTAAAGAAGAATATGAAAATATAAATACTGGAGCAATACAAATCTCAGAGATGTTCAACTCAAATATAAAAATATTGTTGAATATCATTACCGAGCATCATAAAGAAGTCATAGAACTCAAAAATCAAGTTGATACTATTGCAACACAACTAAAAGATATATTATCCAAGACAAATTTACTAAAGAGTTCATAAATGAGTTTTTCAAATCAATACCAAACAGGGACATCTAGAAGGAGTAGTGGACCCAGACGTGACAATATACCAACTGATAAAAAAAACAGATTCCATTTCAGTAACACCAACTAAAAAAGTGGTGATACATGGAGATAAAAAAGATTCCAAAACAATCAACATCATAGACCGAGATGATACAATCTCTTTATATCCAAAAGAAGAAGAGTATGCTCAAATAGTCAGAATTGCTTATGAAATAAAAAATAAGTGATTCATATTTCATCTCTCCGAAAAATCATATTTATCCCAAAATAACAATCATGGAAGGAGGAGACCCTTTGTTTATAAAGATTATGGCAGACTATGGATTTATGGATTTGATATATCAGGAAAAGATTTGATTGAAATTTCGAAATTTGATTACATATTCATAAAACAAGTATCAAGATTTGTCCAGGGATGAAAAATATATTTGAAATTTTATTCAATAAGTCCTAAATACGATAGAGTTGTTTATTATCCAGTTGAACACATAATTTCAATTGAATATGTTGCAGCAAACTTCCAAATAGATGTGGTGGAGAATGATAGAAAAATTTCAACAGTGACAAGATCATGGATCAGACATAGAAGAACACTTGGAATTAAAGCTATATACAATATTGCTAAAAATTTGTTTGATAAAAAATTTTCATGTTTGTGCCAATATGAAAACTGGATGCTGGTATCAAATAGAGAACATGAAAAATCAGAAATTTTGAAAGATTACATTACAAGATTCGAAATACATCAATTTTCAAGATGTCCTACCACTATAAAATAAATCAACTAAGAGAGTGCTCCAACTGCATGTGAAGACATAAAAGATAAATGACAATAATAGAGAAATATGCTCTTTTGATAAAAAAGTTGAAAAAAACATGTGGAGATAAAGAAAAAGGAAGACAATAATGGGAGCTCATTTAATCAGATGCTGCATGTGAAGATGTAGGTCCAAGGAGAACAATAATAGAAAGGCAAGTGTGTTTTTGCTGATGTACTGAATGATATAATAGATCAATAATAGAGCATCATATATTTGTATAAATAGAGGCATTGTAATAGAGAGAAATTATCTTGAAATCTCGAATAGTAATCAATAGCTACCCTTAAACCATCTTCAGTTTGAAAAAACAAACTTTTCTGGAAATCCCTTTGTACCAAATAGAAATCTTGTATAAATTCTGATAAAAATAAAATTCCAATATTTTGATATCAGTATGAGTTTCTAAATCTTTATTCCCATAGATTCTTGACAGATCTAATAGAAAGTTTCCTTCTTATAAAGCAAAAGGAGAGTTTTTCATTAACAGAAGTCTAGAATTTTATTCTTTAGAATCGATACGATGAGAGCAAGAAACTGAAGACTCCGTTGAATGAAGTAGTTTACAGATTCAGAGTTTAAAGGTCACTCGATTTTAAGAATAAAGATTTAAATCAAACTAAGGTAAAAACTATTAAATTTTTGCTAAAATTAGAATGAATCTTCTTAGATTTAGAGAATCAAAGAGATTCGGTCTTTTCTTTTCTTTTCTTTTTTTCGGTTGGGAGTGTTGGCCGTGAAGGGGAGTAGAAGGACATACTAATCTTCGAACCATTGATTTCATATGCAGAAACAACAATCTTCTAACGTTTGTACTACATGTACATATAATTTACATGAGCTTATGTAATGAAGCATAGATATGAGTTGAAACTAATTTCGTATGAAATGCGTTTTCCCTTACTTAAATTTTTGAAACTATGATTTTCGCTCTTTCGCACCTAAATATTAATGTTTCATATATTTCTTTCCCGTCGAATGTTCTCTCCAACTTAAACTTTTACATAATGTCTTATATTCAAGTTTTGCCGCCACCTATTTATAAAATTGCACATCCAAGATTTTGATTCATAATACATAAACCACAATGCAAAACCATGAAAAAGAAATAAAGAATTCTTCATACATAGGACATGCAACAAGCTTTAAATACACAGAGCCCCATAAGTTACACACAAAAAGAAAGGAAAAAAACACTACACTGCCATGAAACATTATTATTACACTCGAAAGTGCATGAAAACTTAAGCCCTGCTCTTGAAAGGAATGGCTCTGATGACAATCTGGTGGTAAATTGCAGCAAGAGCAGCTCCAATGAAGGGACCAACCCAGAAGATCCACTGTAAATAAAGAAATCGCGTAATTTAGTCAAGAAAAAACATTGGAATAGATACAGGAGTTATATGTAATGTATAGCAAGAATCTTACCTGGTCGTCCCATGCGTGGTCTCTATTGTAAATTATGGCAGCTCCGAGACTCCTAGCAGGGTTGATACCTGTTCCAGTAATGGGGATGGTGGCCAAATGAACCAAAAATACTGCAAATCCAATGGGGAGTGGAGCCAAAAGCTGCAACAATCACGAAGACATATTTAAGAACCAGTATGTCAAGGGATAAAATTCCACATAAAACATGGACGTCATAATGGTTAGAACTGCATCTCTTAACAAGATAAACCTTTTAAAATGAAATCCCAAGTTTTAATATGGTATAAACCTATTAAGCTCCAACGAGACATTTGATCCAATTAAGACTCCAAAAATGAGCACGTTAAGGGCTTGACTATTCTTCTTAACAAGATTGACATTTTATAATGAAATCCCAAGTTTTAAAATCAAGAAATTTCACAGGATCAGCTTCGGTATTATCTTATATTTTCGAAAAGTTTTTGGCACATTCATCATACCAATAATAGATCCCCTAGCATCCACAACGCACTAAATAATGAAATTTGTCAAAACACTCAATGTTAAATTGCAGGGGTATAAGTTCAAGTCTCATCGCCAAGCCTTCGCTAAAATCATGCATATACCAGCCTTCTAAATTTAAATCAGTCAATATGCCCTCTCAACTTAAGCTTTTGCAGCAATTTCATAAAAAAAAAAAAATAATAATTAAAAAAAATAAAATTAAAACAATAATAATAATAATAATAATAATAATAA